GTTGTAATTGAGCAACCATCGACGTACATTATAGAAACTATTGCCATCTGTATATCGTAATGATAATTTATAAACTAAAATTTTTCACAATTTACAAGCAATCACAAGCAAACACGTTACCTAAAATTCAGCACGTAGCCGACTCTGTTGAGGAACCGTTTGTCAAGAACGATCTTGGCAAGGGTTGCCAACGCTTCGGAGTCTGCCTTTCTGTCCAGCCACGGTTTGTCCCGCTCATCGTCATTCAGTGGACCATGCAGGCACTTGTTTGTTCCTCGCCCATGGGGCAGAATCCAGTGGTGCTCATTAACGACATGGTTAAGTACGCTTCTCCATATGTTCTGCAATCATAAATTCGGCATAACTGAAACGTATTCTAGCATGATACTAGACCAGGGGTGGACAATCTTTTTGTCCCATGGGTCTCATTGAACGGAAGAAAGTAAGCCGGGGGCCAACCATTGCAAAATTGATATGAAACATGAAAATCATTCATTTGCACCGATTTGCAGGGAAACCATAGACATGAAGAAGATTGCGTAACATTTGTAACACACAGGCAAGTACTGTACACTACCGTTTCAAAATTTTAGAAACGCTTCGATTTAGACAACATATTGTTGATCCGATAAAGTGTCGATGGCCTGATTAAAGTACCTCACGGGTCGCATCCGGCCCACGAACCATAGTTTGCCCTTGCATGTACCAGACACTTCAGCCCTATAACAATAAGCACCATTCAATTCAAAACTGTGTCTAGGTAACTTTAAGACAACTTACCAGGAACTCGGCATACGTCTGCGCTTTTTGACACGTAAACCAGAAATGGTTGATGATGTCTCTAGCCCATTTCTGCAGGGATTCGCATCCTTTCTGTTGTCCTGCCTGAAATTCACAAACAAATATAATGTTCTCCATAGTATGATGTAACTCATTCAATCACAAAAGAAAATGTAACAAAACAGTTATCCATTCTACTTGAGTAATTACATCGAAGCTGTTTTTAATGCACTACAAATGAGATGCAATTGTTATTTGCCATTGTAATGAAATTTAGGTTTAAATTACAACTGCGTGTAAAGTTTAGTGACACTTGGGAAGTATTTCGGAATACATACCGAAATGATCTTCTTCCCCAAATTTTTTGCAACATGCCACACATCGTTTGAGTGCTTCACGTCAGGATACTGAGTCCCTATGAAAGATTACAGACAGAAAATAATACTACAAAAACAAGCTACATCCTTAATTTTCTTTATGTGTATTTATACATATTACATGAGAAATGACCGGCTAAAATTACTTTGCATTTCTTACTAAGTTATTTAAATGCAATCATCTCATATAGCAGTTTATCTAAGGACATCTGTAATGAACGTTAAGGAATCCTATGGGAAACTTACTCATGAATGCTCCTATTGCCATGTGCGCATCTGTGACAACTTCTTTCACCTTCAAACCTTTGGCCATTACTTCACCCAGGGCGTCGCTAAATCCCTTCTTCTCCATATTCGTAGACTTTCTGTCAGTCACTCGTTTGTCCAGTGTTTTAAGAGTTAGTATTTTTTTAGACTCACTCTCCATGATAGTGTAGCTGCAGTACTGGGCAGAATAACCTGGAGAGTCCATTCGTCCATCGCCTGCATATATACATTTTTTTACTTATTATGAATAAGCTAAAACCAGCTGAAGTTGAAATTGGCAGTAATGGACGAGTAGTGGGTCTCTAGTATTCTGAGTCAACATTTATGACAATTTAAATACAATATCAGTGAGTAGCACATACCTAGTACAACAAGCTCCTTGTCTTTCATCTCTGCTACTACTTCTTTCTGGTGGTCACTCCAGAAGTTCTCTATTGTTGGCACCAGGTAGCATCTTTGAATGTTGTGGAACGTGGCTTCCGACACAAACTTCAGTCTTAAGTGCTCCGCCCATAGAGCCATCTTGTGAAAATTGTTGCCTGACGTCAGAATGGACGCAGCAATCAGGAAGTCTATGCTGTGCAAGCGTTTATTTAACAGTGGCTGTGAACACCATTCGTGCACAAGGTGCTTGTTCTTGCAGATCTGCAATGAAACACATGTACAGCATAAGTTACAACGTATGATGCTTAAATGTGTACTGACTAGTGTTGTAGCACTATATATATAATCAGGGTTTGGCAATAAATATTATTTGTACAGGAAATTTGGTCAACATGCGATGGACAGAAATTCCAACAATATGGAAAAGAAGGGTTTTAGCGACGCCATGGGGGAACTCGTAACTGACGGTTTGAAGGTTAAAGAAGTGGTCAGCGATGCCCACATGGGCATAAGAGCATTCATGTACAATTTGCCGACTTGCCTGCCGTAATTGTCTGTCAGCGAAAATGTCGAAAGGAAAACTGCATTAAAAGTATATACATCTTGAATGTGAACAAATGCGTGAGAATCCTTACCCATTTCAGATACAACGCTGATCCCACGAATTTCTCCTCAATTGCCACAGGGCTGGAACAATGCGTACACTGCGTAACATGGGTGTTCGCCAGTGTCTTTATCTGTTTCAAGAATGACAGGCAGACAATGTCATCTGTTATTCTTGTACAGTCATCCTCCGTTTTCACCCGATCGATAGCCGGCCCAACCTCTTCTGTTGTGTCATCCTCCCCGACATCATCATCCGGCACCTCCATGCCAAACTCCATTTCTTCAAAAGGCACTTCTGCAGTTGCTGTTATTACTTCATCTGGTCTGAAATACGAGTAAACTTTTTTAACAACATTACAATGTAAGGCGGTAATCTGGTGTCCAATGTTATTGAATTATTTTTATTAGCAACGTTCACATCGACATTCCACACGAAGAGTCCAAGTGCTAGTGAAAACACACACGCAATGCTATAGCGTGCTTTGCTCAGAAGAATAGTGTTAGTATAGAATACTAGATACTAGAACACATTAGTATAAAAGTTTCGATAAAAATGAAAAATGTTTTTTACAAACATAGTTATGCAGAGGAAACTTACAGTACAGCTGTCACCGTAAAGCTTGGCTCATAGTCCGAGTCGTATAGGTCGTCGTTATCACTCTCCGACACCTGAGATATTTCTATCGAAACACTGGAAGAAAAGAAGAGAACATAACATAACAAAAAGCATAAACACGGAAGCAGCATTGCCTACTTCCAATGAACAATTTTGAATTATAAATGAAACAATCTGTTCTCAGCTTGCTATTTTTAGTATTACCATCGCTCTGCGGGTCTCTATAACAAAAAGCTTGAACAATGAAATGAAGTGATAAACTTACTTAAACGGATCTGCAAATGACGATGACAGCATTTTAGGTGCCACGACTCTGCCACTCTTTGTGGTATGAGGCACGTCCGATGGCTGCCGACTGGAAAACACGGGATAATGGCATATAGCGCTGTTGTCATTTGAAACTGCAGTAGGCTGTCATCAAAAAATTATGTGAACAACATACTAACAAAACTGTATTAATTTTAACTTGTGTACAATTGCCGTAATCATGCTTCAAAACAAACAAATTTTATTACGCACGCATTTCATGAAGCTTCCAACCAGCTGCAAGACATAGTTGTGAATACAAATTTGTTACTAAAAGGGCTCGCTTTGGTTACAAACCTTGCCACACCACCCTTGATAGCAGTCTCCAGTATGCTCTCTGCTGCTGATACTGTTTGCTCACTGCTGTTATTTGTGAAGTAAAAATTTAGTTAGTTTGAGCCGAATCAATGAGAATGTACAAAATAGGTTCTGTTATTTACATGCAATTCAAAACCTGTCTCAAAAAACGTGTTTGTTACTCACCTTCTTTCAGCTTCACTAGCACTTTCTTGTACAGCCTCTATGCCAGAAATGGTTCTCTCACTGCTGTGATAAGAAAAACAGCAACTGGTTCAAAATTCGGTATACATATGTATGCAGTTCAAGTAATAAAGGCAGCAATGATCTACTGTGTAAGTTCTAAATAGTTATATTAAGCCACTACATTTGACAAACAATGGATAATATTACTCGCTCTGACAACCGACTTAGCAAACCAATAACATTGTTAACTTATTACATTTATTATTATTTATAATATGTGATACCTTTCTTTGCCTATTGATGATACATCCGAGAGTGCAGTGGTCGCAGCAGGAAACCGCCCCAAATGTCCGGCACCCATGGGTGTCGAAGTCAGTGCTGCTTGAACAGAGCTTGTTGACGCAACGCCAACAGCTGACTGTTGTTCGTAGAATCTGAACATTTGATAAACAACGCATAATATTACTCCAAATATAAAAACTGCTGTAGAGATGGCCCCTACTGTTTTAGTAGTACACGATGCAATTTATACGTAAATATTGTCAACTTTGCAGACTAGAGCATTACAATGCAAATAGGTCACACAACAGTAATTTACACAAACATGAGCCTATACATGCATGTCTAGTCAACTTGCTAATTACATTGTTTGCAACATTCAAGCATAATTCGGCTACTACGCATATACTTTTATCGGAATACATTAGCCACAAGTAACATTTGACAAACAATGGATAATATTACTCGCTCTGACAACCGACTTAGCAAACCAATAACATTGTTAACTTATTACATTTATTCTTATTTATAATATGTGATACCTTTCTTTGCCTATTGATGATACATGTGCAGTGGTCGCAGCAGGAAACCGCCCCAACTGTCCGGCACCCATGGGTGTCAAAGTCAGTGCTGCTTGAACAGAGCTTGTTGACGCAACGCCAACAGCTGACTGTTGTTCGTAGAATCTGAACATTTGATAAACAACACATAATATTACTCCAAATATAAAAACTTATGTAGAGATGGACCCTACTTTTTTAGTAGTACACGATACAATTTATACGTATATATTGTCAACTCTGCAGACTAGAGCATGAAAATGCAAATAGGTCACATAACAGTAATTTACACAAACATGAGCCTATACATGCATGTCTAGTCAACTTGCTAATTACATTGTTTGCAGCATTCAAGCAAAATTCGGCTACTACGCATATACTTTTATCGCAATACATTAGCCACAAGTAAGATGGTCCCGATTGGATTTAGTGTGAGTCTGTGAAATGGTCGTATTTTTTAACGTTAGCGCGAAAATCGATTTCATTTTAGCATCCGACGTGATATTTTGATTGAAGTGACTCGTGATAGAAATTAGAGTTATCGTGAAAGCATCTGTTTATTTACCGTGAACCGTTATATTTTATTTAGCGTTTAGCGTGAATTAATTTTACATTGATTTTAAATGGATTTTTGATCTCTTGGTTCACCATTTTCACACACTGCCATCCAGCATGGACTGGATCTCGTCTCGACGTATCTATACTCACAAGCTTACTACATTGAAAGCAATGAGTGAATGATATGAGAAAAGTCATAACAGTACTATAAGATCTCATAAATATAGGGCTGTAACATTTTTAGGCTTTGGTACTGTATATGGTACTATATAACTTACAAAATTTAGTAAGAAATAGACATATTTCATAAGAAATAAGAAAAAGGCCAGAAATTTTCTGAGATTTGGGTACGTAGCCATCAGGAGCCTCAATTACGTTGCTACTATCCTAGCCCCAAGAAACGGTTAGAAGACAATATAGACAATCGCTCGCACAGCCTGGTCGGGCTACTACTATCCTACATATATACGTGCAACGGTATAGAGACGGGTTGGGCTTAGCTCTAGTACCGTTGCCGCATGCCGCGTACAGTTCGCCTGCGGTAACTGTACGCGAGAGAGCTGGCTTGGGCTAGGAATGCGTCATTAGTCTAAGCCCAGCTAAATATATTCAGATCATGAATCTAAGCGGATAGTGATACAAAAAGCTGCTGCAATCTACCTAACGAAGGCTATCTGAAACTATCTAAACCGCACATGTAATGATGTTATAGACATTACCTAAACTACTATTAGTATTACTAACAAGTATAGGCATAGTACACATAAACACGTACAGCATTTAGTTTCGAAACATATAGCCAGGGTTCTTATTGGCCTATTCAATCACAAACTTACATGTCCAACAGGTGTTTCGCTACTTCAACATCTGACTGCACATCAAGAGCCTTCTTTGCTGCTGACCATCTCTCGAATTCTTCATGAATATTTACTCTTGATGCCTGATACAACTTTTGGAAACGTTGCCGTTTTCTTTTCTTTTCCGAATCAGTGAATGCACTTCTACGTTTGGCTCGTTTCGTTTGCACAACCACCTTTCCGCGTCCTCCATTACGACTGCCGCCACTATGCAAACAGTTTACCGGGGACAAACAATTCCTTACTCACACACCCTGTAGCAACATGTGACGTCACGAACCAAGTCGATTTTGTTGTTTGGAAACAAGTTAGCGTTGGCGCCTGATTACCTGATTTCGCACCTCTTCTTGTTGGGAACGCGCAGTCAAAGGGAGGAACCAGAGTTTATTTTGTCATAAGGTAGTGTGATTATGCATGCCACGAAAGTATTTGCTAGTCTAGTACTGTAGAAATTAGCGTTTTGGTGCGCATTGTGCGGCTTTATTATTGAGCTATCGAGTATTCGCACTCATATCTTTTACTATAATATTAGTGAAATACCAATCTAATGTTTCAAATTAAACATACCGATCATACTTACAGCAAACTCATCTATAGTTCTCCTTTAACAATCCTTTGAGTTGAACTATATCTACCAACAAGATATTTTTACTTCTCGAAAAATTAAAATGGCGACCATTTTACCCACCACTATCGCAAACTGCATGCAGCGCCCCCTTCCCACCACTCAGGATATAGCCCGAAGAATTCACTGATCTCTATAATATAATCATATATAATTATATGATTATATGATGATAATCAAATGAATAATATGTCATATGATCATGATATATAAATTATGATGATATAGTTATAATAAGGTAAACATTAGCGTTTAGCGTCGGAAACCTAACTTGGCAAACGCCACCGCCAGATGGCGCTACGCGGTCTATCGGCTTTCGGCGTCTATCAGTGGAAATCGTCAGTACTCTCGTAGTTCCTGGTACAGGGTAGCGAAGGAGCGCAGTGTGTACAGCTAGGGAGGAAAGGGAGGGGGAGGGAGGGCAGGAAGTTTTAGTAGTAGTACTAGTAGGTGCGAGTAGGCGCGAGAAGCTAGTTGTAAGAATTGAGGAGGTGTGAGAAGCTGGTGGAGAAGGAGGAAAGAGGAGAAGGGAGCTGAAGAGAAGAGAGGGGAGAAAAAAGGGAGAATGCTGGTGGAGAAGGAGCGAGGGGCAGAAGCTGGTGGAGATGAGGAAGCGGGAGAAGCTTGGGTGGAGCGAGGGAAGGGGAAGAAAGGGAGAAGGTGGTGGAAAGAGGAAGGGGAGAAGGAGAGAAGGTGGTGGATGAATGGAGGAGGGGAGAAGCTGATGGCAGAAGGAAGAAAGGGAGAGAGGGGGAGAAGGGAGCTGGTGGAGGAGGAGGGGGAGAAGGGAGAAGTTGTGGAGAGGAGGGGAGAGGGAGAAGCTGGTGGAGGAGGAGGAGGAGAAAGGAGAAGCTGGTCGGAGAAGGAGGAAAGGGCGAGAAAGGAGAAGCTGCGCTGGAGAAGGAGGAGGGGAGAAGCGTACCGTGAACAATAAAGAAGGGGAGAAGGAGAGAGCTGGTGGACGAAGGAGGAGCGGAAGAAGCTGGTGGAGAAGGAGGCGGGAGAAGCTGGTGGAGAAGGAGTGGGAGAAGCTGGTGGATTAATGAGCCGGAAGGGTGAAGAAGGGAGAAGCTGGCGGAAAGCGGAAGGGAGACAGGGAGATGTGGTGGAGAAGGAGAGGGGAGAAGCTGATGGATGAAGCGAAGAAAGGGAGGGAGGGGAGCAAGGCGCAGCTGGTGGAGACGAGGAGCGGCGCAGAAGCGGCAGAAAAAGCTGGTAGGAGGAGGAGGGTGATAAGGAGAAGCTGGTGGAGGAGGAGGAGGAGGAGAAACGGAGAAGCTGGTGGAGAAGGAGGAAAGGCGACGAGAAAGGAGAAGCTGGTGGAGCAAGGAGGAGGGGGAGAAGCTACGGAACAGATAAAGATAGGGGAGAATGGGAGAAGCTGGTGGCGAAGGAGGAGCGGAGAAGCTGGTGGAGAAGGAGCGGAGAAGCTGGTGATGGCAGAGAAGGAGGGGGAGAAGCTGGTGGAGAATGAGGAAGGGGAGAAGGGAAAGCTTGGTGGAGAAAGAGGAAGGGGGAAGGGCAGAATGTGGTGGAGAAGGAGGAGGGGGAGAAGAAGCTACTGAAAACATATAATGAAGGGCGAGGAAGGGCGGAGAAGCTGGTGGCGAAGGCAGGAGCGGAGAGAAGCTGGTGGAGAAGGAGGGGAGAAGCTGGTGGAGAAGGAGCGCCGCGGAGAGGCTGGTGGGAGAATGAGGAAGGGTGAGAATGGAGAAGCTGGCTAGAGGAAAGGGAAGGAGAGAAGCTACGTGCAACAATAAGGAAGGGAGGAAGGAGAAGCTGGGTGGCCGAAGGAGGAGGCGGAGAAGCTGGTGCAGAAGGAGGGGGAGAAGCTGGTGGAGAAGAGGGGTGGAGAAGCTGGGAGAATGAGAAGGGAGAAGCGAGGGGGAGAGAAGGAACTGCGTGGAGGAGGAGATGGAGCAAGCGGAAAGCTGGTGGAAAAGGAGGAGGGGGAGAAGCTGGTGGGAGAAGGAGAAGCGGGGGGAGAAGGCGAGAAAGCTAGGTGGAGGAGGCAAGGGAGGAGGTGGTGGAGGAGGGAGAAGCTGCTGTGGAGGAGAGGGCTTGAATGCTGTGGAGCAATGAGGAGAGGGAGAAGGCTGTCGTGGAGGAAGAGGAAGGAGAGGAAGAGCGGAGGAGGAAAAGGTTGGGGGGAGAAGCTGGGGCGAGAAGAGGAGGGGAGAATCGGCTGGTGGATAGAAAAAGGAAGGAGAGAAGGAGAGCGAGAAGCGAAGCTGAGTCGAGAAGGAGGAAGGTAGGGAGAACGGGAGAGGGAGGGGGGTGGAGGAGGGGGGAGAAGCTGGCTGGGAGGAGGGGAGAAAGCGTGGTGGAGGAAGAGCGGGAGAGGCCGAGCTGCCGATGGAGGAGGAGGGGGGAGAAGGCGAGAAGCTGGGGGAGAATTGAGAATGGAGAAGCTGGTGGAGAAGCGAAGCAAGGGGAAGAAGGAGAAGGAGGAGGCGAGAAGCTGGCTGCGTGAAGCGAGGACGGGGAAAGCTAGTGGAAGAAAGAAGGACTGCAGAGAAGGAGGGGAGGAGAAGGGAGGCCTGGTGGAGAAGGAGGCAGGAAGAGGAGAAGGGAGAAGGGCGGTGGAGACGGAGGAGGGAGAAGCTGGTGGAGAAGGAGCGGGAGAGAAGCTGGTGAGAGAAGGAGGGAGGGGAGAGGCAAAGCTGGTGGAGAAGGGAAAGTATGGTGGAGGAGCGAAGCGGGAGAAGGAAGAAGGTGGTGGAGGAGGGGAGAAGCTGCGTGGAGGAGGAGGGGTGAGACAGCTGGTAGAGAGGAAGGGGAAAAGGAGGGGCAGAGGAAGGGAGCTGGGAAAAAGGACGGGGAGTATGATCCGAGAAAGCTGGTGGAGAAGGAGAGAGGAGAGAGAAGCCTGGTGGAGGATGAGGAAGGGTGGAAAAAGGAGAAGCATGAGTGGAGAAGGGAGAAGCTGGGACTATAGCAGCGAAGGCTGAGAGAATGGGAGAAGGGTGGTGGCAGGAGGGGCGGCAGAAGACCTGGTAAGAAAGGAGGAGGGGGAGAAGCTGAGGTAGAGCAGGAAGGGGCAAAAGGAGGGATGAGAAGGGAGCTGGTGAAGAAGGACGGGGGAGAATCGTCCAAGAAGCTGGTGGAGAAGGAGGAGCGGAGAGAAGCCTGGTGGAGCGAATGAGGAAGGGCGGAAAAGGCGAGAAAGCTGGTGGGAGAAGGGAGAAGCTGTGGTATAGCAGGCAGAAGTGGGAGAAGGAGAAGGTGTGTGGAAGGAGGGGGAGAAGCCTGGTACGAGAAGCAGGAGGAGGGGAGGAAGCTGGTAGACGGAGGAAGGCGGAAAAGGCAGGGCCGCGAGAGAAGGGAGCTTGCGTGAAGAAGCGACGGCGCGAGAATCTGCAGGAAGCTGGTTGGAGAAGGAGGAGTGAGAGAACGCTGGTGGAGGATGCAGCGAAGCGGGGGAAAGGAAGAAGCGGTGGAGGAGGAGGAGGAGAAAGGAGAAGCTGGCTGGAGAAGAAGGAAGGAAAGGGCGAGAAAGGAGAAGCTGGTGGACGAAGGAGGGGAGCGGGAGAAGGTAGTTGAACAATAAAGGTAAGGGTGGAGAAGGGAGAAGCTGGTGGCGAAGGTCAGGAGCGGGAGAGAAGTGGTGAGAAGGAGGGGGAGAACGCTGGTGCGAGAAGGAGGGCGAGAAGCTGGTCGCAGAATTGAGGAAGGGGAGAAGGGCTAGAAGCTGGTGGAGAAAGAGGGAAGGGGGAAAGCGAGAATGTGGTGGACAGGAAGGAGGAGGGGGAGAAGCTATGGTGAACAATTAAGGAAGGGGGAGAGGGGAGAAGCTGGTGGCGAAAGGAGGAGCGGAGAAGCTGGTGGTGGAGTAAGGAGCGGGAGAAGCTGGTAGAAGGAGGCGGGAGAAGCTGCCGATGGAGAATGAGCAAGGGGAGAAGGAGAAGCTGGTAGAGAAAGAGCAAGGAGAGAAGCCTACGTGAACAATAAGGAAGGGGAGAAATCTCT